CGCCAAGAAAATGTATCGGAAAATTATGAATTTGTAAAGCACTCCAGAAATGAATTTGAGAAAAAAAGTAGCATATGAATAGAATCCCATTTACTTATCTAGTTTTCGGTTATACGGTGAATCAATTATGAAGCAGCAAGCCGCAAGAGATTTAAAATGCAATTTGCATTTTAACATCATCAGAGATAAGAGCGAAAATAGAACTGAATTGACCCAGAATCTATGACAGAGCTAAGGTGATGGAGATGTGTATAAGAGACAGCCTTTACGACGTCAAAACTCGCCATCAAACTCCTAACTAGTTTTCGCATTGCCGTCATATCANATAAGAAGTGACAACGCTAAGGTGATGGTAGTGTTTAGAATTGCGTAGGAATCAGAGGAGGAATTTGGTTGTGTAATAAGAAGGGAGAGGGAAAGTATGAGCTGAGGAGGATGGCCCCACGCAAAGTTGGTTGTGCGGTACCAGCTCTGATCGCACTGCCTTCTACGGTCATCAGGCCAACACGGCAAAGTGAATGGGGGATACTGTATCTTACAGCACACTCTGTGCCTCACTTAAAAACTCTAGCATCCTTTCATACAAGCACTAAACTGAGACGTGGTGAGACAATGCAACACACGTGTCCTGCTGTTGGTCCACTCACACCCTCACGGTGAACAGGATTTAACATCTACAAAACGCGATCACGAATTGAGACCTCTACTCAAATCGTTCGAACATCGATGTTATTTTTCCCATATCTAATAGCGAGTGTTTCAAAATTAATGTTACACCTATGAAATGAATTACAAAGACTATTGTTTTATTTTACTTAATAAAGTAAATTTGCTAAGTATCTTTGCACAAGCTCCATCCACTGCTCCGATACTGACGATGTAGAGTACAAGATGGGGATGTATGCAGCGATAAAGGGGGCGCGACATCAAACCCCCACCATAAAAGTCAATCAACTTATCACCAAAAACGTATAGTGCAAGATGGGCACATTCATCATTGCCAGCCCATGACCATAAATGGCTGCACACGAGGGGCGTATGGAACGCTCCTATGCACAATTAGATATGGAAACGGAACCGACCCTTATTGGAATCTGACATCTGAATTGCACGCTATGATGTAGAGATGAAGTCAGTGCATGACTTTGGCGCTGCCAACAAGAAAAATTTACTTGTAGAAAACCATTCATATATGTCACAGTGCAGATTGATTTCATTGAGACAAAACACCTTATCGCACCTTGACTTGCAAGACTAGAAAAAAAGGCACGCAACAAGAAATACGACTCACTAACGCGATCATAAGCCAGCTGAGCATTTTAGTTCATTTCTTGTCACTAAATGCAACAATGTGGCATTCGTTTATTTACACCAACAAAAATCCAACAAAGAGTTACAAATTAATTTAGCATACATGGATACTGATAACAGCATCATGCAGCATCATGCAGCATCATGCAGCAACTCAATGAACCCATCTCCTAGGGCCTAGAGAACGGTTTCCTATTTCAGAGCCACCAAAGAGCACTTCATAGAGCTGGTCTGTTTATTTTCCACAGATAGGAGCAAGGTAGCTCTGCATCATGGCCTCAAGTGTATGAAATTACAATAATTAATAATATCTTCGCATGGTTTGCAGAGAACTGAATAGTTGAAATTACAATCTGCAGACATCAAATAACCTCGTGCTCAGCCAGGTGAATGTGGAGCGCCTGTACAGTGCTAAGGGTCAGGACATAAGAGATGTTACTTATTCAGGGGTAGCTGTCATGGCACATACCCATAACGAGAGTATCAATGATACATCTCATCCTTGGCTGCATAGAGCTTCATTTGACAGAACAAGGGAGGTTTCACGACTAATAAGACTTGTAGCACAGAATGACTCACGAAGGACAAAAATTGCACATATTCAATGTAGCGAGTACTAATGACGTTGCAGAACATGTGACACATGCAAATCAATGCAACATATTCAAGGTCGAATAAGCAGCATGTATTTTAAAGGCATTTTTCAATTATGAGGTCCTTTAGAAGCGCTCTACACCAAAGCATGAGTTATTAATGAGGAAATAGCATATTCAAATGGTCCCTATTTTAATGATAGTACTCCGAAAGCTTTAAATATCTTATTATGTCTCGCAACATTTTTAGAATCGGCGAGTACAAAATATTAAGCTAATCGGCTTCGTCAATCAACGATGTCACTATTAAGACACGCCATACTGAGACAAAACAAAAAAAATACATTACAACAATCTAAAAATACCCCAATGACGTTAGATCAATAAATACATTGATAATTGTTGAATTGACATCAGCGTGTGCGGGTTCAAAATGCTTAGTAAAAAACATATCAAGGATCGATAGAAGCGCCGTATCATGCACCATATATCAGGCAAGGGTCCAATATAAATAATGCCCAACACTTAGAATATAAGTAAACGCCCCAATTCTCGGGACAGCAAGAATATGAATGTAATGATCTAAGACGTAAGTAAGAAAGCAGTTGACAAACAGGCGAAGAAATTGCAAGTTGCAGTTGAGCGAAAGTGAAAGACAATGAAGAAAGTGAAAGACACGAATTCAAGTGAGAGTGAGGGAGAGCTATTTAGGTCAGTAGGTCTTCGCGTTCCCTCTCACAGGTCGATAGGGAGCGTCGGGTTGAGGGGAATGAGGGGAGAGAGGAGCCATAGATAAGGGGACCATAGACCCACCCCGTAAGGCTCAGCTCACAGAAACCTAACCAATTTCTGTGCTGACGACGTTCTTATTCATTTTATGCCCACGACAGTCACACGCCAGAGCAAAAGAGAGACAAAAATTAACTGAATTCGCGAAAATTGCATGCTTGAAATCAGGCTCGATATAATGGCAGAAATCGATATAATTAGTAATGAAATTAATTGAGATTCCAGGAGAACAGCAAAAAAGCAGAGCATATGTTACATATGATGGTCACGAACTCGTCTCATAGAATCTCAAACTGATGCAGAGAAAATATTTAAACGAAAGTTTTAAACATTTTTGCATAACAACGTTAGAGCAAAACTAAAAAAATCTTCTTGTAGCTAAAATGCCAAATAACAAAAGCATAGAAGTAATATCAAGCATTAGAATGCCAGGTTCGCCGGATAAGTGTCACCCGTTACGAGACAGTTATGAACGTATAACTTCAAACGAGAGCGGATCGCATTATGCGCCGGCATTCTGTAGCTGTTGATTTGCCACAAACTTATTCATGTTGGGGATTCTTTGTGGGTGAGTGACGCCTTATTTAGGTCGCAAGGGGATATCGGAAGAGGGAAGAGGAGGCAAGAAGAGTACTGGGCAGCCCGCATCCCCTTGAGACCTCATTTTGTGGTGTAGCAAACCGTCAGTATAGATACTATAAGCAACAAACCCCATCCCTTCCATATCAATACTGAGATTACTGTAACCATGATAAATAAGAGAAATGCTGAAATAATCAGCAGCCACTGTGAAGAACATCTTGCTGTCAATGAAGCAAGCAACATAAAAAAGAGGCACACGGAGAACTCAGCTTGTCACTCACAATTGCAACTTCGAGCCTTTAAATGCATGGCCTACGGTGAGCTTTGAATTTGATTCAAGTTAAATCTATATACTCTCATGTGTGCCTTTTGCCAAGCTACATGCATGGCATTGCCATTCAGCGATATCAATGACGATCCCATGTAATCCAAATGAATTAATTTCTTTTCTTCCAAGTACCTAATTTGGTTGTGGACGGTCTAGCCGCACAGTTGCACTGAAATGCGCTACCAAATATCACGAAAATATCAAGTGGGACGGAATAAGAAAAAAAATAAAAGGATGATGCGTGTTTCTAGGGCAGTGTGTGGATAGAAAATTATGCGGAGCACATGCGGGAAGAATATCATAAAGAATTGATATAGATCAGGAGGTGGCTGGTTCACACGACAGGTGTGCATGAGGGACTGCACTGCTCGTCATAGACATCTGTGGCCAGTTATTCCAAGCTAACTCGTTCACTAAAGTCACAGTCGCTTCGGGTTTTATTAAGTAAATAGAAGAACTATTTCTGTTATCAAGCGATGTTCATTTAATTGAACTTGTATAAACGATATATGTTAAATTAGATTTACAAGGCTAATTGCTTTTTACCGATGATCTGCAATGATTTTTTTTTTATTGAAATCCTTCGCTTAAAAAAACCCTCTGAGATAAAAGCCCATGCATCACATCGCAATAACTCGCAGAGCACAAAAACGCCTCCTCCCTCGTGGCCACAAGAGAGGGGAGACTGCCCCCTCGCAAGCCAGCACTTCACAGCGACGAAGAACAAGACTTGCAGCGCCCCACCAACGCTGTCATGCAAACCAGGAAGATCCTTGAACTAGTTTCCCCAAGACACGTTAGCTTTATTGTCTTTGTTTCGTTGGTGTTTCATACACACCTGACACTTCATGCGGGCCACAACGCACGTCGTTCACAAATCAAAGGTCACTTCAACGCAATTTTCTCATATTTGATCGCCATTTCCAGGTAATACTCCGTGAAATTAGTTCATAAACTTAATCTAACTTTAACTTTAAAAAATGCTTCTGAATAATTACAAATGAAAAAGATCGGAAAGTGTAAATGCGACACTGTAAAGAATTTAGAGTGCCTTGGGTTAATGCCAATATCAGTGAAAGCCAAAGTTTGATGAAGTTTGGCGATGAACACTTATTATGACGAGACAGACAACAAATGGACCGATAGCAGCAATTCAAATAACAATCATCCATGAATGGCAACATCAAAATGTAAAAGTATTATAAACTTTCGAACATGTCAAATATTTTGAATTTTAGAATTAATCAAACTTCCTCCTGACTGTCAAGAAAAAATTTCAATAGAAATACGTCCAGTCCCAGTCCTGCAATTTTGTTTGTACGCATGTCCGACATAGGAAGAAATAACACAATACAAAAATAAATTAAAATATTAAAGAACAAAAATTTCGGGCTTACCTTCAAGCTTCATGCCGACCTCGATACACTTCTGGAATCTGCAATAAGGACACCTCTTCCTTTGGGTCTTGTCGATTTGGCACTGTCGATCAGCGACGCACGTGTAAACCTTCTTGTTCTGGACGGTTCTCTTGAAGAACCCCTTGCACGACTCGCACGTAAGCAAGCCATAGTGATAGCCTGAGACTTTGTCCCCACACACTGGGCAGAGCTCTTCGATGCCTTCCTTTGTGTCAGGGATGTCGATGCTTGATCCGTTGCTGTAGTCGAGCGAAGTGGTGGCGGTAGCGTTACCAGAAACACTGCTTCCTCCACCTGACGCGCCAGCAAACATGCCAGAAGAAGTATCCATTAGACCAGGGCTTAGTAAACCACCTACATGTTGTTGTTGCTGCTGATGTTGGTGTTGTTGTTGGTGATGTTGCTGATGGTGTAAGGCCGAAGCAACAGCTACGACAGGGTGTTGGTGATGTGGAGATGAGTTGTTGAGTGAGATCGTGTTAGCCGAATCAACGGAGTGTACCTGCCCACCCATTGATGTAGTAATGTGACCAAAAGATGGCGATATAGCGGTTGTTGTGATGCCTAGTGAATTCATGTCTATATTCATTGGTGAAGTAATGGTCAATTGTCCGAATTGAGGTGAAAGATTATAATTGTGGACCGGATTTGGGAGCTCCATGCCTCCGAGCATTACGAACACAATTTTTCTCGAGTTCTCTTCACTACTGAACAACACGTCAAATGCCGCAGAAAATTACATACGCGCTGGAAACGCTCGCCAACACTCTCAATAACGCGATAACGTTACTTAGGACACGTTTTACTAACAAGCCAATCGAAAACAAGCTATCTTCCGCACCACGAAATACTAGTTTTCAAAAGTACAATTCAGGTGGTAAGCGTGAAATATTTCGATACCAATGATAGTCACAATAAACTAATCACGTCCGATTAACTAATAAAGCACTCACAATCAAAGGCCAATTCGTGTAACATCAAAACTACCATCTTGTTTCATAATGAACCTGAAATTATAAAGAAAAAAAATTAGCTTTTTTTCTTCACTGAAACCAACAACTGAAAAACATTACCTTACATATTTAGTTCCTTCAACTAGAACACTTCTTTTTGAGAATGAATTTTATTCCGACTCCTTTCATTGATTGTCTCGTGCTATTTACCCAAAAAAAATAAGATAGAAAAAAAGCCCAGCTTTAAAAATATTTCCTTTAAAGTGATATAATTATACCTTAAAAAGAAGGCAATTTTCAACCGATCAAACATAGTGATCGTTAATAATGAAATTGAGGTCAAATCAGTATATATTTTGAGAAATATTCAAAATTAATCACCTGAACTAATGTGAACACATAGAACATAGAGTATCTGTTTCACATCATATGTAACTTCGCTTAATTTAACTTGATTCAACTTAGGCTAACCAGGAATTTATTGCGACGGTGGTCTACTGCAATATTCAAAATTTAAGGGCATTATTTGCAATACAATATTTTTTACAGGAATCTATAAACACTCAAACTTGGCAACTGTGCACCAAAAAATTCGCCACGAACATTCATTTCCGTTCAAGAAACACATAAAATAATTCAACGAAGCACTCACAAGCACTTGATATACACTTTCAATATCTTCAAAAGCAGGAAAACACTTTTGATTTCATATTTTCTACAAAGAATTATTATCACAAATTCTCGAAAAAACCAGCACGTCACTGCTCACTGAATTAAAATACTGCTTCAAAGTTAATCTAAGGCATGCAGAAACATGTGAGCGTTTCAGAGCACATTGAGGCAAGGGATATGAGAGTGAGCGCGGTGGCAGTGAGACTGACTGGGAGAGGGAGAGAGAGAGCGCCTCGACACACACACCGCACTGGCCGAGGTCGCGAACAAGAGTGAAAGTGACTCGACGTGATGGCCCACTTTACACAAGTTTAACTCGAACTGCACCAGCAGCACCCAGGACGCGTACACCAACCTACCTACACACACACACACGGCTAGCTTCCAACGCTCATGTTTAATGAATGAGAGATAAATTCTCTGTTTATGGATAGGATAATTGGCTCCTTACTCATTATAAGCATCACTGCCCCATACAAAATTTTTATAAGTAATTGGACAGCGCAGGTTCTCTGTTTCAACGGAACACATGTTTTAGCTTCCATCTGACATGACTGGAATGGCAAATCCTGCCCGTTGATTCAGACGCTTTTCTTTTTGAATTAGGTATGATAAAGTAGAAACATGATGCTCTTCTAACGTCTCAATCGTGGTTATACGATTAATGTTCCATTTGTATCTCACTCTCGCTACCTAATAAAATCTATTACGTCGGACCAGGACCGCGAAATGCCGATTAAGATTCTAGTCACCACTTACACAAAGAAGCTAATCTTGCAACAATAAGTTATCTTAGAAAAACTTTTTAACTTTAAGAAATGTTTCCTGTGCTGCCAAAAATGCATGATCATTTTTGGGACAAGAACTCGGTGGCCGTTCGCCATCAGAGATGAAGCAGGAAGTTTGTGATCAATGCACAGCTAGGCTTGAGGGTGTGGCGCCTCAGAGAATCAAAGCACACTATTTCTTGTGCCCATTCGAATTCACCTCGATCGAAAAAATAATGATGAAATATTAGCAGGGGCACGTGAGACTTGAAAATTCAGGGGGAAAATTGTGCGTTTTCTTGTTTTTCAACTCATTCCAGCTGGTGTAAGTCATAATTTTAAATAAATATCAAAACCTGTATTAAGAATTAATTCTTAGATTAAATGAGTTCAAATTACGATTTATAATAAAATTTGACCCACTTATTGGGTATAGCGTCAGCATGATTTTAAATACTCTTCACGCACATTTTCAACTAGGTATTGTTTTATCAGCGGCTAACAATGAAAAAAATAAATACCCATAACCTCATACCAGTAAATTTGCTAGTATTTCACAACTAAATGCGACAGGAAATAGGGGAGGAGACTTGACTCGTAATTATATAATATCTATTATGTAATTTTATTATCCTTCTAGTTTGGGTGTTCATAAGAATGTTATAGTTCTAAATGACTCGGAAGCTAAACGCATGAGTATTGATCAAATATTGTTGCAAAACCTAAATTGATGCGTGACATGACCGTTAGAAACATTAAATGAACATGTCCTCTCAAAATAATGTTAATTGAATATTTTGGTTTAGAGGATTTTGTGTCGTGTTTTTGTGTTTGTTGTAATTGTTGGTGTCGTGGTATAGTGTTCGAATGCAGTGATGCGTATACATGTGGATCAAACATGAATTCTTCAGCAGTTTCTTGCTGCAAAAAATCAGTGTCATGACATGTTATTTTTATTAAACTAGTATACTCAAATATCACAAAACAATATCATATCAATCCATATTTATCAAATGAAAAGCAATAAACAAACATTATATGGATATAAAAAGAATAAAAAAATTATAAAATTATAACAAATATTATCCAATTGACTCACCTTTTGTAAACGAAGGTTGGGTCAACTTATAATGCAAAAGAATAACACAGCGAGTAACCTGGCATTCTAGATTATTTGATGTGTTATTCTAGCTTACCGTTTAAGTATTCTGGGATACCCAGTATACCGGTATTAGAATTATTAGTAAGGTATTCTATATTACCGTTTGACTGAAGACACGTCCCATGGAGTTGTACAGCGTGCAGTTAGCAGTTAAATCATTCACAGTTCCCCCAAGAATTTCCGTTAAGTTCAGAAAAACTAGTGTCAAATTATCAGGCAAACATTTGAGAACACACACGAGTTGATCTGCATAAGAACGTCAGAGTCAGGCTGACAACAGAGAAATGTTGCGCGTAACATTCAACTTCTTGTTCTGAAACCCCATTCTCCCTTTTAAACTAGTTACTATACCAAGGAAAGTTGCACATCAGCATCAATGAATATGTAAAAAAATAAATTACCATAATTTATAACACAAATTTAAGTAATTTGTCAGTTGTCCATTTACATACTCATGTCGTTCTAAGTACAGAAGCCGCAATCATGCGTATAGTTCTTTATTATATTATTCAATGCATGGAGAAAACACGAAACAATGCATGATATTTGATATATTTAGTAAGCACAGCCTGCTAAATTTATTAAGCAACGGATTTGTAAATTACCTGGGGAATTTCAGCGATACAATGGCAGGCCGGGCGCATACATGCATGCTCGTAATGTTAACCACGCGCAGCATTAACACAATTCATACGAGGATAGAAAGACTAAGAAAACTGAGCAAAACTCAGGACGTGCACGCACCCTAGAGAAAGCCATTAGACCTTTAATTAACGCTTTGCAGTAAAGAATGAAAAGCGTGTTTCATATCGATGCGTTACTTCGCAACACGGAGACCATCTGCAGTATACAATACAAACATAAAATATCAGTACAAGTCAAGCACAAAAAAGTCAAGCACACAAAGACAAGTTTAGCATTGCGTTAATAAAACAGCCAAAATAATAAACATAATTCTGTACAAATATAGCGCGCTGGCTTATGACCGTCAAAGAGTGCGAACAAAATTAACAAACGTGCGAGGAAGTTTGCAGCAAAAACGATTGATATTTCGTCCTCATAACCCGGCATTTGTTTTATAACTTGGATGTCAATGATAATGAAGTAGTTCACAGAATGTGTGATACTATAGTATGCAAATAATGTAAGCTCATTTATTACACAAGCGTTACATGGACGCGGACAATTGACAGTGCTCGAGTCTAGACGAGTACGCATGTCAGTAATAAAAATTCTAGTGTTTATGGTTTACGTGCAGCGTGAGAAGACTCAAAGGTTTTTATCGAGATAATTTTGCAAGGACACAGAAGTGTCTCCAAATATATTGGCTCGTATTCTCCAGTGGGAAACAGGTCTAAAAAGCGCGGAATTGTAATTAGGATCTTATGTTGGGATTTCTCTAATTGTTGTTCATTAGCAATATTAAAGTTTTCAGCATCTATTTCAGCCTTTTTATGGAGCATGCAAATAGAGAATATTTTATCTCGGCATTTGAAAGATGAAACGTGGATCAAATACGTACCGTACTATCCAATCATTACTCCAATTTTGAATAAGACGAATGCGTGCCATATTGGTGGTAACTTCAGTCGTCAGTCGCGCGTCGTAAAAAACACATCACCGCATGGGCCAGAAAACCAGACAAAATGAAACTGATACAGAAAACTGTACACACGAGCATGTCTCGCTCGCCATATATCGTACTGACGAGACACACACGAGCATGTCTCGCTCGCCATA